CATTGAGCTTCATGCTGTACAACGCCGTGCAACCTCACCCTCACATCCTGACCCCACTGATGCTGCTGCTGCTGCTGCATAAGCTAAACTAATTGAATTAATCATTTGCTCCACCTGTTTTCCCCATTTTTGTACTAACAATGTTTTACTATCCGGTGTCGACCAGAAGAGGATGGGTTCCCCTTCTGAGTCTTGGTTCCTCTCAAGGTTTCTTCCTGTTTCTCTTAGGGAGTTTTTCCTTGCCACTGTCGCCACTGGCGACACTCATGGGGGCTTGGACCCGAATTTCTTTCTGTAATGCTGATTTTTTTTTTGTAAAGCTGCTTTGTGACAACACCTGTTGTAAAAAGCGCTATATAAATAAACTTTGCTTGCTTGCATCTGCAGGTCTCACAAATCTTCATTTTTTCAGATTAGATATTCGTGGCTTGTTTAAAATGGATGTGGTAGAAAACATTTTGAAGGATAAATAAGTTTGTTGTATTACAGTCTGTATCCTCAAAACAGCAGGTTGTTCAGGGCATTTTTCCTGTTTACTTCCATTCATCCCAAAATGGTCCCCATAATCACTATACATTACACAGAGCATTACTATATGGAACAGAATCTGTGATGGTAGTAACTTGTACACTGCATCATTACTGTGCAACAGCAGATTCCATCGCATAAACACTATAAACATCATACCACCAGACCTCTATGACCACTGAGTTTGACTGCACACATGAGAAGAGCTTACTCACATCTGTAACAGGTCTGAAGAGAGACACCGCCATTGTAGCTGGGCTCAGTAATCCTCCTCAGCGAAGAATCTTCAAACCAAACAACGCTGTGCATTATGGGTGTCCCCTAGTCGACAAGGTTCATCAGTTGTACATTACTTATTGCGGTGAACTGTGGGATTGTTTGAGTGCACTGTATCTTCTGCACTACCCTTTTGGACACCACTACAAAATGGCAGAACCCCAAAATAGCACACTGCATGGTGAATAGGGTGCAGTTTCAGACAAAAGTGTTTCTGGCCTTCCTGCTCGCACCCCGTAATGCTTTTTACACCAGGGATGGCCTGGGGGAGGCTCGCTGGTGATACTTGAAGTGATTAGCCTGAGGTGCCATCATCGGGAGATATTGGCACTCACAGTATGCCTCTCAGCCAATCACATTGCCAGGTCGGAAAAACTGTGGTAAAACTAAAAATATCAGAGCATATTTCCATTTTGCTGGCAGATTGGCCACTGTAGGGGGTCTGTAGAAAGAGGGTACATTTGTTTCTAAGTCGACATAAATAGTAATGGTGATGCCTGTATAATATAAATGATATATAATGTTTTATAAATGCTCCCCAACAAGTGTTCAGCATATGTGGAACTTCTTCAGGCCTGTTAGAAAAGCATCCTGATGCTCCTAATGAGGCTGCTTGAGAGAATGCCAAGAGTCAAAACTGTATCAAGGCGCTGCTTTATCTGAAATATAACACTTTTTATAACATTTTTTTATTGCTGCACAAGTCCACGTGTGAAATAGAAAATAATAAAACTAAAGAAAAACTCTTCATGAGTATGCACGCCTTTTGAATGGTACTGTATAACTGCTGCTGTATAACAATTACTGCCCTTTTTTCTTTCACAAGGTGTCATGTTTCATTTTTACTTGATCTCTGACCTTTAGCTGTATGACTGTGTTGAACATACTGCTGTTTCAGGAAGTCACAAGGTAACAAAGAGACATGAGGTCACCCCCCACTGTAGCACCTTGGATCATGTCTATCCACCTTTAAAGGGTCACTGTGATGACATCTGCCCATGTTATCCTGAAGAACATCTTTAGATCTCCTCAAATGACCTTTTCTTGCTTTTCTGGAGCAGAACAGAAGAACAGAACTGAATGCTATAGATTTTTAAGGGAAAAGGTTTAGGAATGTTTTGATGAATTACATGACCTACATGTTTGATCAAAACAGTATGAGGTCAGCAGGTAAAAAAAAAGAATGCTGTTTATGTATGGAGTCAGATTTTGTGTCAAAAGTTTCAAATAAAATGTTAAAATTCAGAGCGTCAAAATGTCCAAAATATGTTGCAAATACAAATACACACACACATATATTTTCTAAGCCGCTTATCCTTCTGGGTCGCGAGGGGTGCTGAAGCCTATCCCAGCAGTCATGGGACAGAAGGCAGGAAACACAGTTAATTCAAACTTATTTTTTCAAATAGATTACTATTCATTTTCTCTCATTTTGAAATAAATGTATTATTCGTTTTGATGTAATTTTATTACTCATTACTCGGTTTGGCTTAAATTTTTTTCTATTTGCTGATACAGTTTTGCTTCTGAAGTGTTTCTTTTGCCTCTGACTTTTGGGTCTTAGAACAAGATGTTCACCTGCAGTCTGGATTGGTCAACTGATTTGGAGTGACAGGTCTTCTGGACGCATAGCCGCTCAGCGAGAACCGTCCCCAGCTTGGCAGAACTCGTCATACTGAGTGGTGATTTGAGTGCAGCGCTGTTCTGGCAAACAATGTTCGTCATATTCTTTTAAATTATTAATGTAACACATGTTTATTGGTCCTGTGTCTACCTGTATAAAAGGATATAACTGTTATTTTAGGCATTGATGAACAAAAGCTTAGTTGTTTATGAATGAATGAAAACTGCACCACCTTTTGAGTTTTCAGATGTTGTAGCTAACTAGCTTAGCAGTGTCCTCTAGGACTAACTAGGCTAGTCATGTTAGAAATAAGTTTGGTTACTGTATTAATGTGAAAACAGTGATTTGGAGCAGCAGCATCTGGAATCGGCATGCTGAAATAGGAAGCCTGTTTCAGTGACTGACAGAGACACTCTGTGGGTAGAAACAAGAAAAGACTGAAAGCACATCCTTTATAACCCCCAGAACGGAATGGCCAGTCATGACCAGTACTGTGTTCTTGCCAGCGCTACCTTAACATTATTTTCTTCAAACCACAGCCCTGCAGATTCAGTGATTTCCTGACCCAACACACCTGATCAACTAATGAACAGTGTGGAAATCAGCATTTTAAGGTAAGGAATGGTTAAAACTGTGTGGAGCCACAGGTCTCCAGAAGCAAGGCTAATAAACACTGATTTTAACATCTGCAAAGCTCTTCTGCCCCTGTTAAAAAGTGCCAAAAGTCAAAAGAAAATTTTCATAAATTTTAAAAATTTTAATTCTCGTTGTATGTATTTACAACATATTTGGACATTTTGATACTTAATATTTTGCTTGTGAATTGTATTATTTCATTTAAAACTTTTGACAGTAAATTAACTCCATATTTATGTGCACTGATTCTAATCAAAATGATCATTTCTTCCTTCCCTTTTCTTCCAAAGCAGGCTGGTTTAAGGTGCCAGGCGGGCTGGCAGGAGGAGTGTCAGTGGGGTGTGTGTGTGTTGTGTTGTGTTGTGTAGGAGGAGCGTGGAGTGGAGGGAGGCTCCTGATGTGGGCAGCAGCGGTTGTCCTGCTTCCCTGCAGGCCTGCTGAGTGAAATTAAAGCTCTGCTAATCGGATTACCGCCTCCCAAGAGGACAGCTCCGTGGCCAGCAGACAACTGCCCTGCTACTATAGAGTTAACTGTATGAATCTCTCTCTCTCTCTCTCTCTGCACTTAGCCAGGAAGCCAATTTGTTGATAATCAATTGTCGTCTGTGTGTCTTCCTGTTGTAAAGCAGGTGCCTGATGTCTTAAATTTTTAACCAAGATCAATCTCACCGAGTGATTTGAGACATTACATAACATATACAGTATATATTGTTTTAATTTGAATATATACAACTTCAACCAAAAAAATGATTTTACATATTAGAAAAATAAAAATAGAACTTTTGCACAAGCCACATTTTTTTTATTTCTTTCTAAACGTGTTAAATTCAGCAAATAAACAGTAACTGTGTGTTGAAATGTGCAGCAGTGTGTTCTCTGTAGAGGATGTGTTAACTTATTTTCACTTAGACAATCAATAAAACATGTAATTTGACCAGGGGTGCCTAAACTATTGCATACGATTGTAAATATTACAGAATAAAGATAAAACATTCAGCACTCTCATTCAAATACAGCTTTCAGTTGACTTTTAAACTGATATCTTCAGCACCTCCTTCACACTGGATGTTTGGTACATTGGACAAATGCTATTGATCCCAATTAATGATACAAATAAAGTAATAAATTGCATGCAATTTGAAGAACAGATGGCACTTTCAATTTTTTTAAAAAACTGAAGATGCACTGACTTACATACACTGACATACAATAAACGATAGATGATTAGTATCACCTTTATTAAACATATGTGTGTATATATACACAGACAGAGAGAGAGAGAGAGGAGAAAGAGAGAGCTGTTATGTAATGAATAGGCTATTATTTCTTATGATTTGAAGTTTATTTATAAGTTTGAAATTTTATAATGTCATATCATTTCAATCTAAAGTATTAATCAGTGACCCAGCCTCCACATTTTAATAAGAAAATAAAACAACGATCAGATTTCAAATCGGATTGACGTAATGATACAGTCATCTTGTTAATTCTATCCACTGTGTTGAGATGTTAACATGCTAACACACATACACACACACACGCACACACACACACACACACACACACACACACACGCACACAGACACACACACACACACACACACACACACTCGCACACACACACACACACGCACACAACAGCGTTCTACTACCCCTTTTATGAATAACCAATGAGTTCATTATTATTCATGAGCTCAAGTGAATGTAGTCATGTGTACTGAGCCCCACTCACTGACAGAGAGAGAGAGAGAGAGAGAGAGAGAGAGAGACAGAGAGAGAGAGAGAGAGAAGGGGGTGTGTCTTGAAGCTGAAGCTACTACAGCTTGTGTATGTGAGTGTGAATGTGCAGTGTAGTATGCCTGAGAGAGAGAGGTGAACAGAGAGAGATAGAGAGAAAGAGAGAGAGAGAGAGAGAGAGAGAGAGAGAGAGAGAGAGAGAAAACACGCTGACTCCCACACGCTTACAGTCTAGTGGAGGGTGGTCAGAAACACTGCTGGCTCCAGTCTGCTGCTCTGCCGCTCGCTCTCTCTTGTTTTTCTCTTTTTTCTTCTGGGTTATTTTTCTTCGCTGCTGATCAGGAGAGAGAGAAGAGGGAGACACTGATGAGAGACGTCGCTCAGAACTTGCGGGAGATCCCTGGTGTGTGTGCGGGTGTGTGTACCACTGCCAGACGTCCGTGGGGGGCTGCGAGCGGCGCCTCTCGCGCTCCGCCAGGATGGGCTGTAACCTGTGCACGCTGCAGAAGAGAGAGGAGCACTACAAACTGCTGTACGAGATCGCTCAGGTGAGCCTTATCTTTGTCAGTTTAACCCTCTCCTGCCTGTTTGAGTTTGTTCTGTTGGAAGATCACCCTTAAAGAAAGAGTGACTTGAACTCACCTGAATCACATGTGTGCGTTGCTGCTATCTAAGTAAAACATATCACCACTCAATACTTCCTGAAAGACAAGGGGTTCTAAAGTGGGCAGTTCTAGGAAATACCCTGGTATAGAACCTTTACATTTCTGAACTTTAAACTTTACACATCCACATCTCATCTTCTCTATAAAGAACCATCCATTGAGAAAGAACCAATAGTGGTTCTTGTATAGCATTGCTCCAAAGAAAACTTTTGTGGAGCCGCTTTAGAATAAAGATGAAAAAGAGATTTGTAAAGAACCTTTCAAAGGTTTGGGGAATCTACACATAATATAAAGGTTCTTTACCAATTTAAAGGGCTCTTTTTAGAAACTTTACATTATGCAAAGGTTCTTTAAACCTTCAAAAGGTTGTTCATGCTTGCATATTTCATTTACAATATGGTTCTTCAAAGAAGCATCCAATATTTCTTTAGGGAACCAAAAGTGGTTCTTCCATGGCATCGTTTCATAGAACACTTCTTGGCACCTTTTGCAATTTTTACATGCAATATGTTTTTTTTTTCATGTGGAGCTGATGTACATATTTTGAATTCAGTGCACTTTGCAAACTGCTGTCTGTTGGAGTTGGACTCAGGTGGTCTGTGTATTCTTTGATAGAACGTGTTGAATGTGGTGGGATGAGTTTTTTGCTCCTTCACTCTGGCAGTAGTTGCATCTTCATGGACATCATGCTTGCACATTTGTGTTTGTATATCATTGGTGTTGAAAGAAAACCTCCAAGAAAAAAGTCCAAAATGATAACTTTACAGGAGGACTTTTACTTTTAATGTAAGTCAATGGAAACAGACTTTTTTCCAAGTCGTTTTGGGCTGATTCATTTGGTCCATTCATCATGAAATTTACACACAATGTAAAGGCCAACAGGCATTTTCAAAATATGTCAAAAACTGAAAAAGATACGAGGTTTTCTTCTGACAGAAGAGATATATGGGAAGGTTTCAGTCATCAGTGGTCCCAAAAAGGACATTTTTTGTCACATTTAAAAATGCATTAAGCTCATTGTGTTAGAAAGCAAACTGTCAGAGTGGCATTTATTTAAAACAGATTATTCCAAGACTGTCAGTTTCTTTTCTTTCAAAATGTGGCTGGTGGGTTGCAGATTGTTATCAGTTGAGCAGTTTATTTGCAGGTTTGCATCCAAAATGTGAACACAAGCTCACTGACACTATCGTAAAACACCAGGATATCTCCAAAACTCTACCCTCAGTTTGATGTTGTGTTAGAAGTGATTTTCTCTGAAACCATTGTCATTTTCTTAAACATTTTATGAAGTAACTCAAAAGACGTCATTAAAATGTATGAATGGTTAAAGTGTCTAAATACTTTTGGGGTTGCTGCAGGTCATTGAATTGTCTAGTAGTAGTAGGTCAAGGTAAATGGTACAATGCTGAAGACATGCTCATCTAAAAGGCTTCACCAACGAAGCCTTGAATTAGTGGTGAAACATCTTGAAGCCCAGTCACCGTCACTTCTACTGCTAGTCATTGATGGTTGTACTTCATGATGTCTTAACCTCACTTGTTACTGTTCGACAGCGGTGGTAATGAAATGCGCTGTGTAGCAGCACATGTCCACTGTTGTGGCTGCCCATTCTGTGTGCCAACCTACACAGTCTCATTCAGATTAAGACTACAGAAGGGTCAGCATCGGTGGAGTTGAAGTCTCTCATGCTAGGTTTGATGTGAACGCAGGCAGGGAGCGAAGATCGTTGGGGTGTCCTTTTCATGCTGCCAGCTGAGTTTCCTCTCTGATATTGAAGATGCTGACCTGAGCCCATTTTAGCTGAGACAGTGAACCCCTTAAATGGCCAGTGGCCGCCAAAGTTTTATTACACACTTCTGTAACCTAAGAATAACTCAACCAGTTTGCATTAGAGTCTCTGTAGTTACTGAATAATAAGCCTCAGTATGTAAGAAGCCTGGGATTTTAAGGGGTTAAAGTGATAGTTTGGTGAAAAATGTAAGTTGGGCAGTTTTCTTGTGTTTGATCAGGTGAGACATGTTTGGTGTCAGACGTTTGCTTCTTTTGTTTTACACTGGAGCCCTATGATTAATGTAACTAGCAAGTAATGGGGACTTATTTAAACCAATTAGCATGGTGTAAGCTCCATGCCAAAATGTTTTCATAACGTGATGCAGTAAAAGATATTATCCTTTATCTGTGGTATTTCCAGCGCTGTGGTCATGCGCGTATCTGTGACAGTCAATAGACGCAGTTGGTATTGCACCGGGGGGGCACCCAAGAGTGATGAGCTTGTAGAACCTCAGCAACACTAGATCTATTCAACACTGAAACTGATACTGATGACTGGCAACTTCAATTATTATATATGTTGACCAAGAGGGCACTTGTACAGTCTGAGGGCAAAAGGGACAGGAGCTCAGTAACGCTGTGGGGTCTATCTCTGCAGGTGCCTGGTATAGCATGCTGTCATCTATAAAAATGGACAAGGGTAAAGACAAAACTCAGTCATCGATTCAAGATTGCTGCTACTGTTTTTAGTTATGCTTTACATTTTTATAGATATAGATGAGGCAAGGGATAATTTAGGCATGCAGTTTGGTGGGGATTATAAACTTTCATTACTTATTAGGTACAGGGTGATTCAATAAGATTCATCCGATTTCAAAGCACCGTATTTTTACAACCATGAGGTGCCTAGGAACAAATCACATACCAATTGAAAGAGGGGGTCATAGAGTTTCTGCCTGTCACCGGCAGTTGGCTCCCTTCAGTCTGTGAGGAGATGGCGACCCCTGAGCAGAAAGCGTTTTGCTTTCTCCACTTCAATAAGAGTGAATCTGTCATAACTGTGCAACATGATTTTTGTTGGCAGTGAACCTCTAACAGCTCAGAGCGTTCGTCGTTGGTTCCACAACACTGATCTCTCTCTCTCTCTCTCTCCGAAATTGCATTGAAAGAGCCGTGAGTACAGTGACACCTGACATGCTCAATCGAGTATGGGATGAATTTGACTGTCACGTTGAAGTTGTCCATACAGCTAGAGGAGGTCATATTGAGCACTTGTAAAATTACATAATAAACTTTAAGCTCACTTAAACCATTTACAATTTACTGCATTGTTCTGTAACGATTTACAAGTGAAATAAATCATTTTGAAATCAGATGAATCTTTTTGAATCACCCTGTACATTAGCTCAGTAGCAAAACAACAATCTTTAGACACCAAACATGTAGAGCTGAAAGGTTTAGCGTTTTTATTTCAAAATCATGATTTAAAGAGTGCAATTTTCAAATAGCTAGTGGTGCAGTTTTATTACAGCCTATATTCGGCATTTGAGTCTCAAAGCGGTAAAAGTGGATATAATGGTGGTCTTGGCTGAAATAGCAGGGCTAGACCTCAATTTATAGAAAATAGCCACAATTTAAATTGCAGTCACAATATTGGTCAGAAAAATGGCAATTCTCTGAATCGTTCTGCCCTAAAACATGCTGATTGACTACATTTAAGGGGCCCATATCATAGAAAGCCACAACTGTCTTGCTTTTCGAAATAAAGAGTTTGACATAATATGTAAACATTGTTAAAGTTTTAAAATGTATCGTTCACTTTTCAGTCCATACAGAGTTCATTGTTTTTGTGATGTCATTCATATTGAAGTTATAGGGAGTGTTTCAAGTCTTTGAATGAGGCACAATACATGAAAACCAATCGGAACAGAGGTCATTTTTCTTCTATCAGTCTTAAAGGTACAGTAACAAAAACAGCATGTTTGATTCTAAAGGATAAGGGGAGATTAGAAAACGTTCATGTAAAAATGGATTATGACCATTTCTGGCACATAAAACCACACTAATATTTTGAGTGGACCTCGGGGAAAAAATAAAAGACAAGGAAAATGTAAGATATGGGCCCCTTAAGGTAAAAGTAAATTGTAAATTGTGAAAATATCTTTTTTATCTTGCTTATATTGCTTTATGGTTGGAATTTGGTGGAGTACGGGGGCTAATCCAGGACCCCTGGCTCTGCTCCTTTCCCTCCAGACCAGTTACTTGCGCTCCTCGTCGGTGTGGGAGGGCTGTCGTGTCTCTCCTGAGCGCTGCGTGTACTAATGAATATTTTCACGCCGCTCTGATCGCGGCCTCATTAAGCTGCTTTGCGCTTTAATTAGATGTAAAAACGGCCCTTTTTTGTTCGCACGGACGCCTATCGGAAAGATTATCCCTGCTGGTGACTGGCCGGGGGTGATAGGAAGTTTTCTCTGAGTGTGTGTGCAACTCTGAACAGCGGGGTCTTACTTACAGTGATTGGTGTACAAAAACGTGAACTTCTTCAACCCTAATGGGCCTCCACTTCAGTTCTCACTTTAATAACTACATTACTTACGTTAGCTTCACAGTAGTAGTTAACTGCATAGTAATTACTGAATAAGTCTTAAGATTAAAGGCTTAAGATTAACAAGCTTGGGGTTGAAGTGTTTAATATTGGCCCCTGTCTGATTCCCAGTTGTCCTTGGTGGACTGAGATACAGCACAGTCATTCAGATGTGTGGCTACTGCTGGCTCTTTTGTGGCTGGGCGTTGAGGAGTGAAGTGCAATAAAGGAGGGACTGCTGAACAGCTTTATCCTTCACTGAGTGCCCCGTTAGACAACAAAGAGGCACATCCTCTCTTATTTCTGCTCTTTTGTGCCCCCAGCGTGTCTGCTGCTCACGCACCTCTTGGGTTAATTTGTGTGTGTGTGTTCTGCTGCTGGAAACGTGTGTGTATGTGTGTGTCTGTTGTGCTTTGTTTGTGTTCCCCAAATGACATGAAACCGTTTTGTACGTGTGTCGCCTTTGATCCTGTGGAGTGTGTTTAATCCTTATGAGTCTGTGGCAAAGAAAAGATGTAAGGGTGGGTAG